TAAAATCATCATTCAATGAGGATTCGACATAAAATTTGACACATTACCTGTCAACGACGACCACCGGCCCATTTTGATATCCCAATTGAGTTTCCTGTACAGCGTTAGGTAGTTGAAATATTTCAGAAATATAGACGCACTGTCGGGGCCAATTGGTCCAATGCACCATACGTACGTGAAGTTCATAATCGTCTTGCAAAGACTGCATCACGAAGTCTCGTGTTACGTACGTCGCCTCTGTTTGTTCGCTCGATAATTTTATTTTATAGTTATCCGAATCTATGCTTTCTTGCTCGGTAGGCCAAAACATTTCGAATTCCTAGCGACAGATAATAATTATGAAACGTTCGCCTCTTCAAATATCTCAAAATTTATTGAAAAAAAAATCTACATTATAACATGAACAGTCACCGGACGCCTCTGTGGAGAGAGGAGGTGTGTACACTAACGGTTCCCAACTGGTGGGTCGCGAAAGAGTTTTTTAGAGAAAAAATACTGCATCTGTTCATACTATTATTGATAATTTTCCGTTTTTCAAAACTATCAGAATTTCCAGTGACAGCAGGGCTGCAGGCACTTGGTCACTGTAAAATATTCGAATGTCACCATGCACTACAGCAAGTAGCTTGAGCTCGCATGGGTCAAAGGGCGTGATGAAACGGAAAGTAATGAGAACTCGAATGAGTTATCCTAACTGACCTCAAAACAAGTGTTTTATGGTCCAGAGCCGGCTCTGTCACTTGCAGTTCCAACTGTAAACAACTTAGTAACTCGAAACACCTAAACTCAGCACTGCGCTACGTAGAACATGATGTTAGAATGTAGCCATGTGAGAGAAACCTTTAGAGAACCATCTCGCAGCTTGGAGAGTTTTTGCACAAGGTTATCAAAAAAAACCCTGAGGCTATTCGTGGGCATACTTCCTGGGCACTGCAAACTAAACAAACACATCAACTCACAACAACTCATCTGGTAGAGGATGTTACACAGTGACGTTGAGGGGTCAGGCGACGACTTTAGGAAGGGAGGTGGTACAAAAAGCCTGAAATTGAGGCCTGTCCACCCTCCTATGGTAATCCAGAATCCATCATCAAAGGCCACGCCAAGTGAGCACTATTAATAATACTAAGTACGCAAAGATAGCAGTCGGTTTCTCGAAAGGTTACAAGCAGACGCCCTCTCGCCAGCCTAAAACGAAACACTTGCAGTAGGAATGCAAGGCTTATTTATTTATTATCCCTCTCTTAGTTTTGGGTCCTCAACAGGCATGCGCCCAATTACAGAGTGACCCGCATAATGCTATTTAGAGGTGCCTCTGCAGAAGGTCTTAAGTTGGTCTATACTACTCCGGTATTAGGAATTAGGAAAACTGCAGGAAAACCTAATTCGGAGTAGCCGGTAGAATACTCGGAACTGGTCTAAGGTAATTTACATCTCCGCCACAGATGAAAAATTCACCTCAACCCAGGTTCGAACCCCCCACCTCCGGATTTATAACCCAACGCTCTTACCACTGAGCCATAAAGCCGGTTGATGATAGATGGCGTGCGCTGATCACTGCAGATTTCTACCTAAATCTAAAAATTGTTGGGGTGGAGTTATTTCGATAAGGAAAAGTGGGTCGCCGGCTGAAAAAAAGTTGGGAACCACTGGTGTACACCAATGCCACGTCAATAAAGACATGTTTAAAAATTTAAAAAAAACATTTTATCTGCGGCACATCACACTAACACGAGCTGTTATAGCCAAAATTTTATTTTTTACAAGAAAAAGGAAAGCTAGTGGCAAACACACTGTGTCGAGTTACAGGACGGTACCCTCTGCCCTTCACCTAAAAAATTTGGTAATTTGAGTAAAGTTGTCAAAAATGATACACGCTGCGCGCTATAGCATAAAGAGCTTTGGATGCGCATGATATATAATAAGATACGCGCAACTGTACGCCACTAAAGTAGAAATTTTAATTGGCAAACTTTCCCGTCAGTTGCCAATGTTGGCCAGCGTGGCGCAGTTGAGTTGAAGTTCGACTGCGGTACTACGGTAGGTTGGGTTGGTAGAGCACTCTTGGCTGAAACCCCGCCCACTTAAAAATAAAGGCCATAAATGAATAAATATTCCGTCTGCGCCGTTATTCGCCATGCTATAGGGCGCGGTTTGTACTTCGGTCGTTTTAAATTATTTTTTATACGCGCAATTGAGATAATCCAAAATACTACACGCAGATTTCCCCGTTGGAGTACGATTTTTGCGGTATAAATGACATCATTTTATCGCACAATATCCTTAACTGCCAAGTAATATAAATAAAACATCTCATGATTTCAGAGAATCCTTTCTTTTTAAATGCATTTAAATTTTAATTATTAGGTTCAATTGATATGTAAAAAAAACTAGGGGGGTAGAGGGTACCAACATAAGCATTTTTTACTAACCATAATACATATGAGAGGATCATTTTTAGGCATGCCCATTTGTTTTCAAACATCTTCCCAAAATTCCTAGCTCATACTGTGGTGGAAAAAGTTTGATCTTCACTAAATTTGGTATGTGGATACCTTTCATCAGTAAAATAACGAATCAAAAATTAATTTTTGAAAATTCGACGGTACCTACTCTCCGTTAGGTGCTCGCCGCCTAATCACGTCTTTCTCATCACAACCTAATGCAATTGAAATGTTTTTCAAATTTTCAAAACCTGACTTTATTTCGTTACTTTCATTTTCATAGAGATCCAGATACCCTAACAAATGTGCGCCATTTTGGGGTAGAAATTTTTTGCAAAATCATTTAAAATCCTCCTGTGTTATGGTTGCTGAGTCAAAAATTAAAGAAGACACACATTTTGGAACTTACCTCATCAATTATACTAAGCATTACAATAGTTTGTGCATTATGATCCCAAACCATTTGCCAAAAGTCTTTAATGGTTTCTTTCATAGGATGCTGCGTTATGATGAATTCTCTAAGACTGTTATAGCCTTGAATCCATGTGGCGTTAATATAATCGGAGCCGTCTTCTCCAGGTTTAGGGGTTAAATGTACTCGAGAGCTTTCCACCGAAACAATTTCACTTCGGTTCTTTGGCTTATTAATCACTTTATTGGCAGATATTACATTAAAATCCTTACATTGAAAACTTGTTACTAACTGAAATGAAAAAATTAGTAAGATTTGGAACAGTGTAGATGGCGCGACCGACTTTAAACTGATACTCTAATGGCTTCCATGGTTCTGTTTTTTCCTCAACATTACTACTTTGCAGAATTTGCACATATTTTGGGATTTGTTCTTTTTTAATATTCGTTTCACCTGATTCAATTGCTTCTAACAGAGCATCGTGAATAAATATATACTGTTCCTCTGTTTGTACTAAAAAGTTTCGTTGACTCCTAATGTGCCGTAAAAATCCAAATATATTTACTTCGCTTCTACTACGAATTTGTTTTAACATTGCATCTAAGACAATGTAAGTGCCTGTTCTCCCTACCCCGGCACTACAAAATTGCCCAATGTTTAGATAATGGCCCAAGTAAATTAAGAAATACCTGCAATGCACAATTATAGGACCTCCGTCCGGCGGATTGGCCGATGCAGATTTCTTCACGAAATGCAAAACGGGCAGAGGGTGATCGGGTGTACCATGATCGGGCCAATTTGTGTAATGATACTGGTACACTAATTTTTCCGCCATAGCTGCTTTCTTCTTTTTGATCTGGAATGTATTATTGTAGCACACGTAGACTAGGCTAATGAATACCCTAAGATGCCGTATTTGCAGCGTCCGCACAGTGTATGTTGCCATTATATCTTCTTTGACTAGTTTAACCTGTATAACACCATATGTTTCTGTACCTTCTTTCGGCCAATACATATCACACTTCCTCTAAAACATGAAGGAATTTGCATGCACTAGCATTCGAAATTTCAAAACGCATATTAAACCAACATTCAATGCGTGTTAGATACAGCCAAATAGAACAAATTAATATGCACAACAATCCTTGTTTTACAAAAAGAAATACCTCGTAACGACCTGTATCGCACTGCACGAACGGAAATGCAACAGTGCCCTAGTAAAGGTGAAACATAATTACAAAACTGAAAAAATAAAAAGATACTTAACTGATAATAATATACTACTAATATATGCCTTTTTTTCTTCATTACATTTGTAAATATTTTGCCAGTTTATTCTTCAAATTGGAGGATGTGGAATTGAAAAGTGACAAAGCCCTACCAAACTGAAAAAACCCGTGGATAAAGTCTTCCGAAATGAGGTATCACATGAACCTTTCTCCACAAAAAAAATTGGCCACTGTCGGTATTTCGGAAATCGGAACTGTCGATTTTATGTTAAGAAGTACTATTCTATACCCACCACTCAAATTTCAAATCAATATCTCAAACCGTTTTCAATTTAGAGGGAGAGAGGTGACTATTTACGTTCGCATTGTATGTAAAAAATAGTTTTTTCTACAAGGTACGAAACAAATATTTTTTGCCAATTGAACGCAGTGCGACATGCCTAGGTGCATTAGATATTTTACTTAGAAAAGATTCGATTGCTGCCAATAAAGCGAAATCCCGACTGCCAGAAGGTGGGTTGGCGGAAGATCAAACGAGTAATTTCCCAAACAAAAAAACGTGCATGGCACAGAATCTAGGATCATGAGAAGAAGCAGTAAAAAAATTTGTCAGAAAAGGGGACGCCAAAAAGTTGTATAGATCAAAGTATGTGCAAAGTGTCAGAAATTAGAGAGTATGACAAAATTGAGTGCAAAGTGCAAGAGCGCATTTTGCCGCACGGCGCAGCATCGGTCGCTTTTTTTTGATTTTCACACCATATATATTTTAGAGCATGGATGACAATTTATCTCATTGGAAGTGGAAAGTTTAGCAAAATTAAAATAAATCAGTTTCTATTACATATAGGAGTTTAAAAAATACGCTTATTTTGCAGTAATTGCAAAAAAAAACATTTCCGTGAAATTCGGGACATTCGGAATATTTATAAAAAAATTAAAACAGTATTCATCAAGATTCAAAATACTAGAAAATAGAAAAAATGAATGAAGAGAAATTAAAAAAATTCGCTGACAAAAAAGGAGAATTTAGGTGATTTGAAAAATTCATAAAGTAACAAGTGATTCTAAATTCTAAAAACTGACAAAATCGTAAAACTCAATTGAAAACTTGGAAAGTTCGAATATGCCTATAATTAAAAAAATTTAAAAAAAACCAATTAAAAGTTCACAATTTCAACGAAATTTGAAAACAAAAATTGAACAAATTTAGATTTGGAAAAATGAAAATCTGATGCACATACAATTTTAAAATAAATAAACACAAATTAAAAATCAGTGCACCCAATAACTAAACAATAATAAAAAAAATCGAATTAAGTTTTAATAAATTCTAAAAATTAAGAAATATTTCAAAAATTGAAAATGACGAAAATTGAAGAATATGGAAAAGAAACAAAGGTACACAAACATAAAACAAATTAAAAAAAATTTACAAAGATCCGAAGAAGGCTTTGAAAACATTCGGAATTAAAATGTCGTTTTTAAAACATTAAAATTATTGATGAAACAAACTTACCGTGAAATTCGATCATAATTATATAAAGTATCCAATCCGAAAATAGGTATCACTTAAGATTATACACCCTGTAGTACACCCAAGTATTGTTGCACATTATGTTTAGAGAATTAGATTTTAATTTCCCGCTACCCGCGTCTATTTTACTCGTCCATTACCCCTCTATACCCATTCTTTGGAGATAAAATGGAGTGGACTGAAATGTAGGAAATGGGTAGAGACAAAGAGGGAGGGTGGGGAGTGATATTTTCGGATTGAAGATTGCATATGATCGAACTTCACTTAAGGTATTTTAATTACCGTCTTGATCCCCTACGAAAATGCTCTTCTCCCTACCCCTGGCTTCTCTTTTCAAATAGTAAGCCGTCATTTCAAATGAATCAAATTTCATAAAATTTTCTCTATTTCGTACTTTATTTGAGAAACTCGAAAAATCGGACCGATGCTGCGCCGCGCCAAAATGCGTTCTCACACTTGAAACCCGATTTTGTCTTCTACTTTAACTTCCGACACTTGACACATACATACTTTGATGCATACGCAAACAGGGTTAATTTAAATTGTCAGAAGTAAATTGTTCGATATTTTCGCAACTTTGGCAGCTTCTGACAACCTTTTTAGTACAGTCAAATTAGATCAAATTTCCACGAACTCCTAGAGCTCGAGCCGCCATCTTGGAAAAAAGGTACTCCAAATCACTTTTTCGCTGATATCTCGGTAATCGTGCATTCTAGCAAGTAAAGTTTCATATAAAAAAAGAAAGATAATACAATTTTGTATAAAAAAGATGGTATGCACTTTTTTTGTATTTTCGATATTTACGTCGATATTCCACATTGAATATAGAGCATACTCTTTTTTCAGATGTAGGTGCATTACTTTCAGCGCTCGCGTGCTTTAAACATGAATATGTTTAAAAAATTGATTTAGTTGACATTTTAGGGCCTGTTGACCAGTGAAGAGAAGGGCAGTTTTATCTAAAATTAAACACTTACGACCTATCGTACTCACTCAACATATGTGTTTTGTATTTCTCGTTAATACAATCACTGTTAATGTATGGAATTGTTGGCTGGGGGTATTTTATGCTATAGTGAATCCTTATACAGCCTTATACAGGGTGGTGCCTAGCACGACGCAGCACAGGGATGTCAATGGTAATTTCTTTATAGTCAATTACTAGCTCCCCTAATTATTTTAGAGCAAAAGTCTAAAGAAGTTTTTGTAGAGAAAAAAATACTGCATCTGTTCATACTATTACCAAAGAGTACCCGGTACCCCTCTTTGCTATTACTTATAATTTTCCGTTTTTCAAAATCGTAGAAATCGACAAAATAAAAAATTACATTTTTATAAATCAGTGATGCTTTGGAATCTTTTAACAAACTACAAGCGCATCGCATCTAAGTTATCGTTGTTTGACGTTCAACGATTTTTATATTTAATTCGGTAATCTTGTACGTACCTACTGCTTGGAATCGGCTAATTGGGTTACTTAACACTAAATACACACGTTACTTGGCGGGCATTATTTCCAGCATAAAACAACTTTAACTTTAACATTTCTCATCAGTTAAATACATGATAAACAATTTTATGATTAACTAATTTATAAACAAGTATAAATTTAATAAACGTCAAAGGCAAATAATGAAACGTGATCGCTGATTTTTTAGGTAATTCCAAGGCATATCTGTTTTATTGAAAAATGAACAGATGCAGTACTTTTTTCTCTAAAAAAACTTCTTTAGACTTTTGCTCTAAAATAATTAGGGGAGTGACTATAAAGAAATTACCATTGACATCCCTGTGCTGCGTTGCGCTAGGCACCACCCTGTATAAGGAATCAAATGTAATGAATTTACGCCAACTTTACTGTAACAAAATCCTCCAGTTCAGAAAAACATCCAAAATTACTGCCCAACATGCACTCTCATTATACACGCCAGGAAGACCATAATAATAAACTTTTTCCAAGGTCTGAAAAACAATCGGTAAACGATGTGCTCAGTACATTGCTCCAAGGCTTTATTCCATTCTACCGCGCGAAATGAAAAAGATATCTACCTATACCGCTTTCACGAAAAAAGTTCAGATGTGGATACTGGAACAGCGCTATGAACTATTTCGCGAATTGTTAATGGAATTGTTTAGTTTAGTTTATTATTTTTAGTATTTCTTTTATGAAATGAAGTCAAGTTTGATTTATATTTTTTTGTAAATGCTCCATATCCATTACAAGTAGTTCAAACGACTTCGGATTTTGGCAATATTTATTTTTCTTAGTTTCCTTATGCAGGTATCTTTTGTATTCGGCTATACAGGGTGACAATTTGAAAACTTACCACCCCCCATATCTTAGTAAATAAACGAGATATTAAAAAAAATCAAAATCCGTTTCGGTAATTCGGAGGGGGAATCACAATGACATAGTTGGCGACGCACCCCCTCACAACCCCTGCGCCCCAGCCACCCCAACTTTTAAATCTTAAATAGTGACCCCCCATGTGTGATACGTCGTTGGAAAGCTCTGAAAAAATGCTTTCCAACCATACCAAACAGCATTACATTGAGGTTAGTAATTATCGTGAAAATCAAAAAATAAACTAATATGATACATTTGAAATCTGTCGTATTTAAAACGCAACCGGCGAACATAGACGAACTAAGACAGAGAATAATAAATTCAAGAATGTCGAAATATTGCAAAACCAACATTGGAAAGGTTCGACAAGAGTTTGAGAATAGATTATAACTGGCGATCAAAAATGAGTTGCTGTCGAGTCGGCTTTGGAAGTTCAAGTTAAATACGATTTTTCCATGTTTATTTTTTGATTTGCACGATAATTACTAACCTAAATGTAATGCTATTTGGTATGGTTGGAAAGCATTTTTTCAGAGCTTTCCAACGACGTATCACACATGGGGGGTCACTATTTAGGATTTAAAAGTTGGGGTCGCTGGGGCGCAGGGGGTGTGAGGGGGTGCGTCGCCAACTATGTCATTGTGATTCCCCCTCTGAATTACCGAAACGGATTTTGATTTTTTTAAATATTTCGTTTATTTACTGAGATATGGGGGGTGGTAAGTTTTCAAATTGTCACCCTGTATAGTATAAAAATAAATATATTATGTATTGTTTCCTTCTCTTAGGTGATCAACAGGCCTTAACAATGTCAGTCAATTTTTTAAACATATGTTTAAAGCACGCGAGCGCTGAAAGTAATGCACCTGCATCTGAAAAAAGATTATGCTCTATATTCAATGTGGAATATGGACGTAAATAACGAAAATACAAAAAAAGTGCGTACCATCTTTTTTATACAAAATTTTATTATCTTTCTTTTTTCATATAAAACTTTACTTGCTAGAATGCACGGTTACCGAGATATCAGCGAAAAAGTGATTTGGAGCACCTTTTTTCCAAGATGGCGGCTCGAGCCATTGGAGTTTTGGTCCCAACTTTTAGTATGTTCGAATACAAGTCCTAATGTACCTCTATACAAATTTTCAGCTTTCTTTCAATTATTTCCGCTATTTTTCCTAATTTGACTGGCCTATTTAGCATTCACCTCTGACAATTTTCTGGGTATCTATGTAAATTTTGAGCCGTGCACAGTGTTTTAGTTGGAAAATTTAATCGTCCGCCAAGGCGCCTTCTTGACGGTTGGGCTTCTGTTTTATTGGCAGCAATTGAATTTTTTCAAGGTAATCTATTTCATGCGCCGAGGCATGTCGCACCCCATGACAGCTCTTAGACTATGAGAGTACAAAATGTTTCATTTTGAAAGCATATCCTCAAAAATCTCAAAAAAAAGAGTCGACATAACAGCTTTTTCGGAACAATCCTTAATTTTTTGTAAGATACCTCGGATGCAAAAAATTTCTGATCTACATTATCGGAGTACGCCATCTTATGGCAAAAAAATTGGGGGGGGGGGGCCTCCCATATATAAAACTGCGATAATTTCTCTCTTTTGTAATATGCATATTATTGCATATATAGCACCCTAACAAGTAAAGAATTGGCAAGACAGCAGACGTACCCTTCCCCTTTCCACGAGATTCGTTATCATGACAATGATAGTGACTCGTTGCTCCCAAACCATTCTCCAGAAACAATCGAACGTCGAAGGTAGAGGACCTTGAGTTCCTATGTACGCCTTTGACCATTGAAAACCGTCTATATAATTCGCATTTATATAATCGATATTTTTCTTCTGGCCTGGCATTTGTAATAACTGGACTCTGCTATGGTCGTCTGAAAATTAAACAATTTAGATCGCGACACATCAGTCATAAACGTAGAAACTTACACGCAATGATGTTTAAATATCTATTCTTAGCACGGTTATCTGTATGCTGAGAATGCTCCGAAGAATACTCATCATGATTGGATTGAATAGCTTCATACTCCTTACTGAAGCCGATGTCCCCATCGGCGTGTAATTCGGCAACATGCTTTCCAAACATATCGACCGGTATTGCACCCTTATAATCGCCAGAGGGATCAGAGGCCACATTCCAATCTAATGATGTACTCGGAACCGAACAAGGTAAATCATCTAAGTAGTAATACGTAGAATGGAAACATTTTCTACAAGTAACAAAAAGGATGTGTAAATCGCTTTACCGGCAGTACAAATATTACCTCCAAATGAAGAAGGCTAGTATTGACAGCAAAAATGCAAATGCGGCGCAACCCACTCCGGCGATCATGCCCGCACTAAGTTCGTTAGTTGTGTGCCTCATGTATTGTTGAATTTTATCACAATTTGATTGTACCAGAACCTCTTTTGGTTCCGATAGTTGTCCTTCAATTAACTTATCAGTATAATGGCTGTAGGAGGCTGCGCTAATTTGTACATGGTATAACATGTCCGTTGTCAGATTTTTTATGGAATACTACAAATAAATCAACTGTTAGTGCATAGGACAAAATATTTATACTACGCATAAACGTCAAATTTAATTGTTTTATTTTTAGACATAATGCTTCTTGACAATTCCGCTAAATCAAAGCCGACTGAAAAATGTTAACAATGGTTGTAGAAATCCCCCTTTTCCACTTTCTTAGAAAATCATTCATTTTAGATATAGGGAAGTATTTACAAACTGCCTTATTTCCCTACGTGCAATTCATTCGTGAGGCGAAAAAGGTGAGTAATAATTAAGTTCTAGAATTGTGAGAATTTTGAAATGATTTGCTGACACTTATTTGCACAACTCATAAAAACAATGAGTTCGCTTTGTTTTAATTACAAAATTGGACACCCTGTATATAAATTACTTAAATGAGATTCAAATATAAGGTTACAGAACTGATAATCGTTTGCCGCAACTCACAAAAGAAATGACCGTTACACCTCAATTCGTCTCGCTTATGCAGGTGCAGTGAAACACCTCAATAAGTCATCTCCTGAAACTGATACCTTTTCTAGGCAAAAATGTTCGAAACTATAACATATAATCCGCCACCTATTATCGTTCTGTTCCGAATTCCATGTGTTTGTTATACTCAGACAAAAACGAAATGTACCCTTTATTAAATTATTCTAATTAGTTCGTGATAGTCGATAATTTTATTATAATACCTCAGGCCTCACGTTGTTGCCCTTTTTTTAAAATCTTGTTTGTGTTTATTACTATATATATTCATTTATTGTGTACAGTACGTACATACATACAGACGGAAAACTGATGAAATTTTGACATGTCATTTACTAATTTTTTTTGCCATTGTACATTAGGTATAAACGATGTAGGACTTTTTTTAATATCTGGTTTGAGCTAGGAAGCTGTTCTGTCAAGAATCTGGCCCCTGGTGTTCTGAATGACAAGCTCTATCAAAAAAATAGAAAAAAAGCCTGTGCATATTTAAAACAAAAGATGATGATAGCCCCAAAAAACCAGAACGTCTGACTAAAAACTTAGTCATGCCAGTCTGTAGAGCATAAAGTTTTTAAAAATAAAGTCATGTGAAAATAAAAAGTAAACAGATTTCAGTTTTCACCTGTTATCTCCGAAGATATTCAGAAATTGATAGTCATATCATCCCTTAAATCTCATCAATAAAATAAAAAAAATCTATAAACATACTTTATTTTTTTAGAAATAATTTCCAAACGAGAGAGGATGAAGGGTGCGTCCTAAGTTTCGCGTCAAAGATGGTTGTTGCAAGTGGTTTTGTATACAGTATTGCCAACATCCCATGAAACATACATGTGTTGCATTTAAAAAAACCAAAAAAATAAATGAAAAAAATTACCACATTTATAGAGCACCCTGTACATACAAAAAATATTTTCGCGTTATGCACAAGCAAACAATTTTGTATTTTGTCCAATATATTTGCGCAGTGGCGATATTGTAACCGATGAAGTATATAAGTAGTAGCCCATTATCATTTTTAGGATAAGTTAATCCATTTTTACAACTTTCGCATTACGTTTGTCTAAACTACGTGTACTAACAACACAAAATTATGCATGCATTTTGTAAAAGATACGTACCGAAGTTTGCAAATGTTCCTTAGAAGTAGGAAGAGTAATATTGTCATACACTAATGCACCGATAGTATAAATATAAATATGATAAAAGTCGATGGTACTTGGAGATTCTAGAGGTCTTTGCCAGTGTAAAAAAATTGTATCCTGTGCTTGGCATGTTAAATTTAAAATTATAGGCGGACTAGGACCACTAATATCAGTCTTATTAATGATGGAATCAGATCGTTCTCCTTCATTTTTCGCCGTAAATGCTTTAACCCATATGTCGTACTCTGTATTCGGCTCTGAAATAAAAGGGTTAGAAATCTAAGTGGGAAATTACGTGAGGTCTTACTTAATTGAGTTAAGTTATATTGTATATTAGAACCTCCTCCATGTATTCGATGAGTTTGCACTCCTGTTAAGTTCGCGTGCATAAAGTAAATTCGATAGCCGTCGATTGGTCCATTGGCACGTAAGGGTTCAGACCAGCTCAAATAGACGCTAGTAGAAGTTACACCGAGAACTGTAATGTTGAGCGGTTTACTGGGTACTGAAACAGAAGGGGATGTTAAAAAACAAACGAGGCATTAACAGTATAGAGATACCTTCCATATCAATAACAGTGTAACCATCAGTAGTGCTCGTATAATGTTGATTTGTTACATGGGCCAATGTGGCCATTAGGACACATACAGCAACATGATCCATTATAAATATACTTTATACACAAAGGGTTTACAGTTAATCAACATTTAATAAGTTCTTTATTAGTATGCACATCCATCTCCAATCCTCGCGTTTCCAACCTGATCACAATCAACACTTTTATTTCCCTTCATAAAAATAATAAACACTCACATTTTATTAATAAACAAATTTTACAATTAACAATTCGGCTGCACCACCCAGACAGCGGTATTAACAGTTGTGTATAACGGAGCAGTATCGGAGATTTGCTTATCGTACCACTGACGGTCTAATAGTGGCAGCTAGAGACCACAGAGAAGTGAAATAAAGGACTGGTCGATGTGAGCACGTGACTATAAATGGCGGCGCTTTTACTCTAATTTCAAACAGCTACTGAATACAATATTAAGAAACGCAAAATTACAGGCATTTTTCTATCAAAATTAACCAATTATCTACTTTTTGAAGAAATATATTAATGAACATAATTTGTTTTGATACACGAAAAATTGTTGACAAAATACGCAAACAAAAGACATACAATTGCCCCCTAGAGGTTAATGTATACCCACTGTGGTTCTAATTTCAACGTCGTCGACAATTTGAAAATTAATACTATTATTTTGTGACAAAAAATGATCGGCCTCGATTTGGTCATACAAATCTCACAATTGGAATCGTTACGAGCCTTTCAAATTTTCGAAAACATCCTTGATATAAGCTGAAAAATAGATGTCACGCAGAGACCAGAATTGCATTTGTCGTATAAAAGATATTTCTTTTGGTACTAGCTGTGTCGACTTGAAACAAACATTAAACAATAGTCAATAAAATCTTTTAAAAAATAATTGAGCATTCATTCGCGTAATAATCAGAGCTTATTATTTAGTAATATTTTTGGAAATTTACAAATCTGTATAAGAACGAACTTGAGTCGAGTGTAATATTTAAAAGTTGTTTAGATTCTACAGGCCAAAATCTATTACAGTTCGTATTTTTGAATACGAACCGATCATCAATTTGGATTTCGTGAGTGTCACTCCACCATTCATCAAGGAAAGAAATACTGTAATGCAGTTTGATAAGATATGGCACAGAGGTCTACTCTTCAAAACTATAAAATGCCTTTCCAGCAACTTTTACCTGATTCTCAAGTCATATTTTAAGAATCTAATATACCTACACGTCTCCGCGAAACCATCACCAATCCAATTTCCTTCCTATTGAATCTGGAGTCCCTTCAGGGTAGTGGCTTGGGGCCACTGCTCTTTCTTATATAGAATGCAGATTTATCAGAAACCAACACTACCAACCTCATTTGCATTTGCTTCAGATAGATTACAACCCCACCTTAACCTGCTCCATGAATGGTACGCTAAGCGGATAACGAAGATTAATCATACCAAGTCCGTCCAACACGTCGCAACATCTGTCCTGCAGTTAACTTAAAATAATATACAAATACCCATTGCATCATAAACCAAATATCTTGGTTCACGTGAAAAAATGCACAAAATCTACGATAGTCGACATTATTCAAAGGTTTGAATCCAAAATGCTAATAACCCTGGTAAATGCCCCCTGGTACGTCAGCAACCCCAAAATTCACGCTAATCTAAACATTCCATAAGTTAGAAATGAGATCCGACGTATGGGAACTTAATCATAGAAACGAACAGTCGAAAAGTTACCCACAAACGATCCACATTGGAGAAGACTTCGCAAAACCTGGCCCAAAGACCTGGTCCAACTTTGAACATACGTAAAGAACCGATTAGGCGCAGCATTGATGGGTGCTGCCCTCTCAAGCCTGATAAATGTAACAAATTTACTTAATACTCAAATATGATGTTTATTGGAAATATGCGAATAAGAATAACATTGTTTAAAACAAAGCTGCTAAGTTTTAAAGTAAATTAGTGGTCTGTGATGGCTCTATCTCTGTGTCATGGCTACAGCGACAAGCCAAAATGCATTATGAGTCGGCTCTTTCTGCGACAAATTCATTTATTGCTATAAAGCTTAGCGTTACATACTACTTTGAATTGTGGCTCTTATCTCTCTTTCTGGTGGTCAAATCTCGATTGAAATAAATTTGATGGATTTTTCAGGTTACAATTGACAAGAAACCGTCTCTTCCCGTTTGATTTGTGACAAATTCCTTCATGTTATGCTTTAGCGTTACGTTATTCTTCGGGTTGATGCCCGTATCTCTGTTTTTGGTCTTTAGATCTTCATAGTTATACATTTTTTGGATTATGCAAGTCGTCATCTATTAGAAGCGGGGTCTTTTCGTTTAGTAGGTGAATTATCACAATAGGCCTTACCTAATATGAATATTCCAAAAAATTGGTACAGAGTATGAAGAAATTTCTCAATTTTATCATCTTCATTTTACGCCTAAACAGAATAATTGTTGCATTCTGATTAGATTCAACACACGAAGTTCAGATGAAACTAAATAGAAGTGCAACGATTAGCCTGTTTAGGCACAAAAGGGGTGAATATCCGCATCCCCACGGCGGTCCTAGAGACCCTTCTAAACATTCCGCTTCTAGAATCCAAAACAATTCGTACTTTTTCGATCAGACTTCTCAATCAAAAGTTATAGACTAGAAACCAATTTCGAAAGAAAATTCAAAGGGCTGTAACTTTTAAACTAGTAGCCCAATCTTGGAACTGTTTCAAATTATGGATTCTACAGTCCACATTCTACAAGAAAATTTTTTTTCCGGTTCGATCTGAGCCAATTTTTTTTGCCGGCCTCAAAAAAAGGCAGTGTATAAACCTTCCTTTTTCACCAAAAATCGATTACACCAAAATTTCTCGAAAAAACACTTTTTCTTATTAATTTTGGTGCGTAGAATCCAAAACAATTCGTACTTTTTCGATCAGACTTCTCAATAAAAAGTTATAGACTAGAAAAGAAACCAATTTCGAAAGAAAATTCAAAAGGCTGTAACTTTTGAACTAGTAGCCCAATCTTGGAACTGTTTGAAATTATGGATTCTACAGGCCACGTTCTATAAGAAAATTTTTTTTCCGGGTCGATCTGAGACAATTTTTTTTTCGGGGCAAAAAAAGGCAGTGTATAACCTTCCTTTTTTCCAAAAATCGACTGCACCAAAATTTCTCGGGAGAACACTTTTTCTTATTAATTTTGGTGCGTAGAATCCAAAACAATTCGAACTTTTTCGATCAATTTATTTAAAGTTTTGCGAGATCCCGCAAATACCGGGATCCCGCGGGATTAACATCTAATAATCCCGCAAATGCCGGGATTGAGATTTTGCAGCGGGATTGCATTCCCTACTTGGAACCAGTGGCGGATTTACATATAGGCACACTAGGCACTTGCCTAGGGGTGGCAGCTTTAGAGGGCGGCATTTTTTGCACTATATTTATTTTAGGTAACATTTTAAGTTTTAAAATCCCCTAACAAGTTACAAATGACAAAAATCTTTAATTAAAATTATGAAATAAATTGGAATTGGTAGATAGTTTAAACAAACTGTAACTGTAAGAACAATAATCGACAGACGACAATGCAAATTTTGACGTGTGTGAAAACTTAATCTTA